AAGACTTGTGTCGTTAAAATTTCGTCGGAACAAAGTTACGGAAAAATCAATTAACAAACGGAGACGTAACAATACATTAGAGAAAAATAGAACGTCCACTTGAAGTTAGGTTCAAAAAACACAAAACTAGAGAATAATGAAAAAGACCAGGACAACAGTCTTTCATCTGTCTTCCGATACAATGGTGGAGAGATACCATCATACGCTTTTAAATCAATTAGTAAGTTATATAGGTAGACATAAGAAAATTTGGGATCAAGATCTTCCACTGCTACTTAAGAGCTGTTAAACAGCAGTGCATGAAGATGTAGGCAACACACCATCAGCACTGATGTTTGTGTCATGGAACCTTCTGTATTCACATCCAGAGGACAATTACTTAACAGAGTCTTACACATAATATGGAGAGAGACTAAGGAACAAAAGTGAGATCATACATCACCTTACCTTTAAAAGTCTTAAATTAGTTAAGATAAAATGAAAGGTCACTATGATGCTAATGCTGACAAGACTGGATTTCATAGAGGTGGTATGCTATGGCTGTACAATCCTCGTCACAAGAAAAGACAAACTACAAATTTAAGAAGGTGTTGGGAAGGTCTGCATGTTGTACTGAAAAGAAATAATGATATGGTTTACAGAATCCAGAAGAATAACTGGTTCAACCAAAAGATCATCGATCGTGATCATTTTGGGGCATATGTAGTGAGAGAACAGTGAGCTAGGTAACTCTGGAGAAAAATTTGCCAATGCAAAGTCAACCTGCTGAAGATCCCAGGATTATTGTCGAGATCACTTCCAGAGGTCAACAAAGGTAAAGTTGTCAATAGATTCACTTGACTACCTACCTAGAGAAAACTCTCCCAGTGACAGGACTGCACTTGGCAATAAGGGCAAGAGGTTATTCCATCTGCATTCTGTGATCTTTGGAGTAGTGAATAGACAGTTTAGTGTAATGTTTTATTTGTATACTAGGATTGTTAAAGTAACTTCATAATCCAGGAGGGAGGCATTATTATAAGCTATATCTTTACTATTTGAATTTAGAAGTTTGTTCGCTAGCGGATGCATTATGCAATACTTAGCAAATTCATGAAAATTAAGGCCTCTGTATGTAGAATTTAGAAATTTCATGCAGTATGTAGAAACAAGGGTACGATATAAATACTAGAATCAATGAAGCATTGAGTTAATGAGTATTCAGTAAGTGGTTATTAAGCTCAGTGTCAGCTAATGAGTTAATGTGCCTATTCCTATGTGATTGAGTTAGCACTTTTTTGGTGAGTTAGATGTAAATGCCTTTAGTTTTGGAATTTCTGTTCAAACGTTGTTTGTGAAATTAGGCTTACAAATAAAATTAGCTTGTAGAAAATATTACAGAAGAAATAAATCAATTCGTTATTGTTACATGGACTGGACTTTTCATCATTTTTACCAAATAATTCAAAATAATCCTCCCAGTGATAAAACACATTACAACATTATATTAGGCTTTAATCACAGTAAAACATATGACATTTGCATAGAGACCTCTGACATAATATTAGCAAATGATAAATAAATAAAGAGGAAAAGAATAATTACTAAAATATATTGCTACATATGTTAGGTCTAACGAGTTTAGTTTTTGCCCATATGGAATAAACCAAGTTATACTTTTGGAAATATCCTTTAATCATAGATGTCTTACTTGATGAAGAAATGTAAGTTAGACTAAAGCAAAGTAGGATACATCTTTAATGAATGAAAATTGTTCATTTGGCTATGGAACTAGAATAAACTAAAGTCGTAGATAAAAAAGCTACAGTAACATCTGGGAATTAGTGAATCGTCAGATCAAATAGTAAAGAAACATCAATTCCCTTTGCTGTGGCTTAAAATAGCTCAATGTATTGGTTGAATAACTGTTTATTCAAAATGGAAGAAGTAGACACTATGATAGTAAGTTTGTACATTGCATATGGCTAAAACCTTCAGATTAAAATATTTAAGAAATTAAGATTGCTCTAAAAAATCATAGGAACAAAGTTGTTATTAATATGGAGAACATGAGCATTACAGCCGATGCTGTGAGAAATCAATCAGTAATAACAAATCAAGGAAAAGATGTGCTGATGATAAGTCCCAAAGCCCAGCCAAATCAAAGTTACAAGAGAGAATTAACCACAAATCGGAAAATAGGAATTAGCTGGACCTAAGGACGAAACTTAGATGAAAATAGTCTATGTACTCCAACTGAGATAATATGTTCATTATTTTAGGAAAGCAGTTCACGAGTCATTGATTCATTGATAGGAAGCGTTGCATCAAGTTGATCGACACTGGTTCTTAGGTAATATTTTCTTAACGACATATATATTTTCACCCAATCATGTTTCAACTTGAAACCTGTCACAAACTGAGCTAAAGCTTTTAAAATATAAACTATTACATTCTTCCTCTCTCAAACAAATTCCATCCTGGGACTAATTTCAGGATCGTGTGGTGGTCTGGTAATCTTCTTTTCGCGATTCATATTTATTCAACTCTGATTTGAACTGGAGATCTTTCACACATCAGAAGAGTGTTCTACCAACTAAGATAACGGCTAGCCCCTTAGCACTTGCTAGTACTTTACTTTTTTTAATAACTCAGACTATTACAGTTTTTAGCTACCAGTGTTTGATTTGATCTGGTAATGAAATCTGGGAAATTGCCTACAGAGGTGATGCAAGAAAGTGGGTTGAAGCAAACAGCAAGTGGTCATCAAGTCGAGACATTAAGGTTACGCCAATCACATTATGTTAAACTTCCTTGCTCTAAGAATTGTGCAAATTTATAAAAAATGTCTAGCTTAACAACATAGTCTATAACACTATGTCCAGACAAATAAGACGAAAATGAGAAATTGTGCATTTGTTGGTAATCCTCGATATGTTGAAGTTTAGATTAAGTATTTTTAATATCAAAATATTATTCTAATAATTTGATATTAAAAATACTTAATTAAAAATATTCTTGTACTCAGCTCTGTTAAACGAATACATAGGCTTAATAAAGTACCAAAGTCATTGTAGAACGTAAATGAGTGAATGTTATTTATGTGTATTGTTAATTTGTGTCGTTGAGTTTTTTGTTTTTTACCGCTGGTGGTCGGGACCCTCTGGGCAGGCCCGGCATGGCCACATGGTTAGGGCGCTCGACTCGTAATCTGCGGGTCGCTGGTTCGAATCCCCGTCACACCAGACATGCTCGCCATTTCAACCGTGGAGGCTTTATAATATTACGGTCAATCCCACTATTCGTTGGTAAAAGAGTAGCCCAAGAGTTGGCGGTGGGTGGCGATGATTAGCTGCATTTCCTCTAGTCTTACACTGCTAAATTAGGGACGGCTAGCGCAGATAGCCTTCGTGTAGCTTTGTGCGAAATTCATAACAAACAAACCCTCTGGGCAAGAGCTCCTGTCACATCGGCTAATCTGGGCCTAGTGTGTATATTTTGTACTCCTGACTTTTATTTTTATTATCCGCGGACCTTCTTCAAAGGAAAATTGATTTATGATTTTTATAAGAGTTTTTATTTGTTTGTTCTAATGCAAAGTTACACAATAGGCTATATGAGTTTTGTCTACCACGAGAAATCAAACTACGAGTTTTAGCGTTGTAAATCTGTATACTTACTGCTCTTCCACTGAGAGACCCTTATAAGATATCATTCAACTATTTTTTTGCGATATTGAAATTTCTCACATATGTCGTGAAATGCCATAAAACCTGGATCCATAATATACCCATTTAAAAAAAAATATATGTGATATCTGAGAAATGGAACAGCAGTATTAGTAATTGGTATGATTAGAGAGAAAAACAAGTTAGTGTAAGTAGGATATGTAAACATAATATATCCATGTAAATTATTAGACAGACAGAAGGTGTTGCTGACATAAAAAACAACATTGCCCCAAAATCTGACTTTTTTCGCCTCATAAATGGGGTGTTATAATTCACCTAAAATCCGAAGATCGATTCACTGCGGAGGACATAGCGCAGATAGCCCGTTGTGTGGTTTTGCGCTACATAAACACGAGTCAAACATTAGCTGTAATTCAAATTTTTAACCCCTTGTCAAGAAGCATTGGGGTTTTAGTTGTTGCACTTCTTTCTCTTTTTGTTATAAAATTTATAATTCATAGAACAGTAATTAACACATTTTATGTTCAGTATTGTAATAAAATAGAGCCTAGAACAGAAGCTAGTAATAATTATTAAATTCTACTTTAATTGAAAATTTTCGTATTATTATTTTTTCTTCCATACGATAGAAGTGTGAGGTTTAAACTTTATTGGCGTCTTGTAATAAATATAGTGTTGTTTGTCGCCTGTAACTTTTCATCAAAATTATGTTTAATTACTTATCTTGAAGTTGAACGAAGATGTCTGATTTAGCAATTTGTAACGTAGCATATGATGGAAACTATGAAATTTTAAAAGAGAAAATATCGATGGATGGTAGCTTGATAAATAAAAAAGATCAAGTAAGTTACTATAACTCACTTGATCATAGTATACTATAAGTATTAGTAGTACTGTCATAACGTTAGTAGGAGTAAGGTAGGTTATATACTCATTAGTGCTAATAATACTAATAGTAATAGTAAATATAATTTGGAAGTTAGATATATGTCTGCTTTCAGTGGTTTCCTGTATTTAAGAAATGTCTTTCTCATGAAGTATGAGACACTTCCACAAATTAAGCCACCAATCTTTTCTTAGTTTTTTTGGAGGATTGTAGTAGTGCAAATTGTGATAATGCCAGATGCATGTTGTGTATGTGTTGTAACCACAAGTTGCTGTTAGTGTTATAACTGAAAATATCAAAATTCACTAATAAAATGGGAAATGGTAAGAAATGCAAAAATCTATGAAATTGTATTACACAAAGTATATATACCAATACTTTAATGAAAATTTAGTACAGTATGATGTTTTGTTCAGTTGGATTACCTTCAGCATTATCTCGATTGTTGAAGTAATTGATGCAAAATATATAATAATTAAAACATCACCATAAATGAACAATTATTCAAGGAACCAAGCTCATTTATATTGAAAATTAAAATAATGTAACATGTAAAGAAATGCAGTTAACGTTGTTATTCTTTAATATGCAGGCACCTTTTGGCAAGTAATCATTACATGATATCTATTATCATGAACTATGGTAGGGAATGTAAGGAATTGCACAAAACCCCATTAGAACGTTTGGGCAAAAAGCATCTTAAACAGAAAAGATTCATTTCCAACAACACTTTAAAACCTTTACTATTGACTGCTAAGGCTGTACACATATAAAAATGCACAAAAAGTATGCATGTTAGACTTCTAAGGAAAAGAAAAATCACCCAAAATGGCTCATTTGTAATTTTCGTATTATTATCTTGTCAGCCTACAACAAAAATGGCTTGGTATTGCACCCAAACCTTTTGTAGATGTTTTAGATGTATATGTTTTCTTTGAAAAGGCAGCTCTTCTACAGGAAAATTGTATATGCACTTAGTGGGGGTTGTGTCTTAGTCTAGGCATATATTTGCCCATTGCTATGCATTATACATAGAGAATTTAGTTAAACAGAAACTGTAAATGCTCACTATATTCTCAAACAAATCTCCATGACAATCTCCAGCTGCAGCTTAACATTTTAACATCTCAAACTAATGTGATCAAGTAGTCAATAGCTACAGTAAATCATCATGAACTGTATCAGCTAGCTATTAGCTATGTTTATCATTACAATGTATAAAGTTAGCTATAATATCAAGTAATCCTTTGCCCATGGTTAAGCATAAAAAAGCTATCATAAATAGATAAATAAAAAATTGGGAAGTTAAAAAACCTGCAAATAGGATTGCAAGCAGGGCTGGAGATACTGTAGATATTTTTCACTCAAACTATAAATCCCTATTTGACTCCATCAAATGTAATTCTAGTACAGCATGAAGCCAAACTAGGGGTTTGTAGTTTGAGTAAATAATGTCTAAGTATCTCTAGCCTTGTTTCCGTACATTTTTTGCAATTCCTAGTTGCACGTTTTTAAATTCCCAAATTGTTATTTATCTTGTCATATTATGAAGTACATATTACAGTACACACAAATAATTTATGACTTGCATGTTAATAATAACTTAAGAATATGCTACTTAATTATGTGCAGTCATCTTTTCTGAAAGCCTAAACTATGATGTAACTCATCAGTCATTTGATATTGAATGATGTTGAGCTTTGAGCTTAATTCTTTGCTATATACAAGGTGTTTACTGTTGATTGGTTTGTTTGATTGTGTTACACAAGGTATTATAAGTGTGACATCCATGTATACTGTGCTGTGATGTATAAATATTAACTAATGAGTTAGGTATAGGCAGGTTAATAACATAGATATTGTGTGTTGGACAGACATCCATGTATAGAAAATACCATGTAGTTTACAGTCTACCACTACAGATGTTAATGTTAATAATGTGTTGGATATTGTAGTACGTTGTGATGTAGTACCCCTTATGTTATAGTTTTCACTGTGCAGTACGCTAACGCTACATGTCCAGTTTACGTGAAGTACCATTTTTATTGTGTGTTATGTATCAATGAATAGTTCTTGAGAATCCACAATGTCTCTACTATGTCAAGCTAGTTTAGGCTAATGTAGATTACGTAGTGCCCAATTGGGGAGAGTTATCACTTTAGAAAGAGTCAGTACAATGACCTTAAAGATCCTCACATCATCAATGGCAGTTGTGGGAACACAACACTAGAAATTGATAATTTCAGAAACAAAACTCAATACAAAAGTCACCACCTGTAATTTTTACTTTTATAGCATTCGTTAGTTGTTATATGCAGCTAAGTTGCATGAACGTTTATAAAAGTACAAATTCCATTGCAGACTTAGATCAAGTTATAAGATAATTTTAATTTTTGTTTACAGTTTTGAAAATTCATATGCATATAATGTAATCAATGAATATTTACAAGATATTGAGTGTGTATTAGCCAAAATATTAGAAATGATAAATTTTAATGAAAACAAAATGAACAGGGAAAGATATTCTGATATATATATATATATATATAATT